TCAGCCAGGCATGCACCGGCGTGCATCCGCACTGGAGCCCGGGGCATGGCAGGGCTTTGAAGTCTCCGTCTCATGCTGTTGATCACGAAAAAATAGCAAATTCGTGATCCAACGAGAAACACTGCCAACTCGTCGTCATTGGATTGTCTGCGACATGTGCGAAAAATCGGTTTCGGCATGTTTCAGCAAGCTCGCCTGCGAGGCGCCTGCAGAGTGCGTGTGCTCATCAAAAAACTAGACCCCGAGCATCCCGAAAGCTATCAGTTGGATGTCAGCAAGGGACGCGAATCTGGCCGTGTTCTAGGTGCTGCGGTCGTGGTGCCGTGTAGGTGCCGTGGTGTATGTGGGCGGTGTAGGTGCCGTGGTGTACGTGGTGCGGTGTAGGTGCTGTGGAATACCGGTGCGGTGTCGTTGCTGTGGTGTATGTGCGCAGTGTATGTGTCCTGGTGTATGTGAGCGGTGTAGGTGCATGTGCGCGGTGTAGGTGTCCTGGTGTTTGTGAACGGTGTAGGTGCTGTGGTGGGCGGTGTAGGCGCCGTGCTGTGCTAGCGCGATGTCGTTGCTGTGGTGTATGTGCGCAGCGATCCCCGCAGAGGATTTGCCGGCGACATTGAAAACTTTCACGGCGCGTCAGCGAGAGCGTTTCGACACGCACGCTCCCCGCAAAGGATTTGCCGGCGACGTTGAAAGATCGCAGGGCTCCACAGCAAGAGCGCTTCGACACACACGTTCCCGCGAAGGCTTCGCCGGCCACGTTGAGCACACGAACGGCGCCACAGCGAGAGTGCCTCGACGCGCGCGAAACCCGCAGAGGGGTGCATCCTGCCTTACCCCGCCAAACCCACCCCAGGCTAAGAAATAAGAGAAAATAGAACAGAAGCGTGTATGTGGTGCATGTGGGCGGTGTAGGCGCTGTGGTGTGGTGTGTGTGAGCGGTGTAGGTGCTGTGGTGTGGTGTATATGGGCGGTGCAGGTGCTGTCGTGTGGTGCATGTGAGCGGTGTATTTGCTGTGGTGTAAGCAAGGCAGCCGTTTTTTGATGAAGAACCCTTCGCGGTGTTTTGGGGAGAACATGTGCAACAGCAAAGTGGTGAGCTTGACGACATCTTGGGCCCAGGCAAAGCAACACCAGGCCCCATGCTGACAGCCCGCCAGTGTTCCCGTGTACAAGGGAAGGCACCCAGCATCCAGCTAGCTCCAGTTGATTGCTTTTCCTTCTGATGGGAATTATTAAGCCCAGCAAGGTTGTAATGGCTGACGTGTATCTTCATTGTCAGACCACCTCAGTAATGGGTGGGATGGTCGCAGGGCAAGTGAGAATTCAAGGGTGAAGGTTTGCGGCCTTTGCTTTGTGCAGGGCTGATATCCCATGGACAAATGGCGCCAGCGCACTCTCTGGGGTCAGCGGCTGCACAGACCAACCATCCGCGTGTTAGGACATTTGCCTAAATGCAACACGGATTCTTTCGTGCAAAGGCATCGTTCCCGGAGCGGGCATTTGCGCTCTTGAGACGAGATGTTGTCTTGCTGTCCGCTCCGACTGAGGGATGCTGCCCTGCACCAAGCGGCTGTCAGATTGAGCTGAGGTCAACCACTCACTATGCCACACCCTGTGCTTGTAAATTCAAACATGGCCCAGGTAGGGGAAATGAGCAGAGCTGGAGTCAAAATTACGTTCTTGCAGCTATAGTAATAGAGGGGGGTGTTCAATGAGGTCCAAAGATATTATACCCTCCAAACCTGCAAAAGCATACGGGGCACATTACATGAATTCCACCATAACCACATACAAATAGTATTGACGACAGCTCCTGTGAGCCGACACAAGCAATCCCTATAAACTTCTTTGCAACAGCACCTATGGATTCAAAAGAAATCCTTTGCATCCAGACATACTCGGCAAGGGTAACGGGCCAAATCAACATAAATCAACACAAGCATCCCCAAACCACAAACTTTGGAACCGTTTTGGTAAGGGGCCCGTAGCATCAAGTCTGAGCCGTTATGGGGTATGTTCAAACGGCTACACTCCAAACGCGAAGTTCCTGAACAAAACAAGACTTCGGCTGTGCCTTTGTAGCGCCGTCCACATTGGACTGGGGCTTGTCAGCGGGTCTCGCCTCAACCTCTGAAAAGAAAGGGCGCCTGTCATTCATGTTTTGCGGCAAGCATGTTAAATCTTGGCAGAGTTTAACAAGAACTTACATGTTTCCATGTGTGTGCTCGTTTTGAAGATGGAAAGACTGTCCTCCCCCTTCCCATTATGTTTAAAATGAAACACAGTACCCGGCAAATCCTGCCAAGAAGTTGCAAGAACCTCACTCAATGTACTCATGTTGTACAATGTTTTGCAAACGCAAGCAAGGACTACACCCAGAGGCCCAACGTGAGACCATGACATGTTGCTGACATACGAGGACGCTCCACGCAAGAGCTGCCCACAAAAAATACGTTTGCACAGGGCACCAAAAGCAAACATGCAAGGAACCTTTATGCCAGAGCACAACCTCGCCCGCCAACATGCCAGGACGGATTTTCCACACGCAAGCCTGATGTTGGTCCGAAATGCGACGCCAGAGCGCAGTCCTTTTGCTGTTGGGTCGGCTGTGTGCAGCAGCTGTTTTCCCCCATTGCTGGGTCGGGAGGAGGGCGATGTGGAGGCGTGTTTTTTGTTTTCCTCTTGGGGAGGGATGGAGCGTGTTTTGTGTTGCCGGGCGGGGGGGGCGTCAACAGCAAGAAAACTTGCCCCTGCCCCGACAGTTCCCCAAGAGCAGAAAGCCCTACCAGCTTCGAAATCCTGAGCCCTCAGCCCCAAAAGCGAAGCCCAACGATCAAACACCGCCCTAAGAGTTTAATGGTAAAGGAATTGCCTAAGCCTATACCTAAAGCCAGAAAACAAAGAGAAAACAAGACGTCGTCGAGCACGGAATCAGCACATTCTGAAGCACGAAGCCCGGAAATTCCTGAAGACCGAAGCACAATAGACTGCTATCAATTCCGGACCCTCAAAATTTAAACCTGACGACTAGAAGATTTCAACCCCGACCCTTAACGTCTTCGCACTCAAACTGGACCCGAACCTTCAGCATCCTGATGCAGGCGTGACATGGAAGGTCGGTGTGAAGACTCATGTAGATCAGTCATGATCAGTCCAAATCATACATCAAGGTCATAGTCATACTTTAAACTTGGCATAGAAAAGACTTGAAGAGGATGAGACATATGGGACAGGGGTAGGTTTTCCCGTCATTGTTTGTGCGGTCCGCCTGACATGCACTGGTAGCTCGAAGCTTCGATAGAAAGGTTGTAGTCCTGCAGGTCAAACGCAAAGTCATGACGAACCCATTCCCACCCCTGACGATGACAACCTGATAGGCTGTTCAGGTAACTGCAGATACTGCAGCAACACAGCCTGGGAAATCAAACGGCGTACTGGGAAGTCCATTCAGATCTGATCAGTCCGTTATCGAGTTGGTCAGAATAGCTGTAATCCGAACGGATACTGTAGCTGCAACCGCAAATGTAGTTGAATGTAGTTGTATTATCCGGGTCAAAGGCCATGGCGGCTCCATCGGCCGGAAAAAGTGCTGGTGTGTGCCAAAGCCCATACCGAACCCCCACCCCCTCAAAACTCAAAGTCCACCAAAACCCTGAATTCTGCGACGTCATCCGTGGGATTAGAATCCTTCATCCTGGAGGCCCTTGTCACCGAGCCTTTCAAACCCTAGACCCTCATACTACACAACGACCTTAAAATCATTTTTCAAACTCTAAAGACGCAACACCACAGCCCTGAACTTTCAGACTGAATCCCCAAATCTCTGAACATCCCCGAACCTTGTCAGTAGCAGAGATGGCTGCAACAAAAGTGCATTCGTGGGCCCGGCCAGCGGAGGGTAGCCTCCAAGCCGCGTAAAAGCTTGAGAATTCCAAATAACCCTGAAGGACATGAGGCAGAAAAAATGAAACAAAACAACACTGAAACCAGGTGGAGATAGGTGAAGGGCAGGAAGGGCAGGAAGCCGTGAAACGCAACATTGGCTAGCCAGTTTAAGACTATATCCAGCCACCAGCTGAGACAGGATTGATTCTGATCAGCACATCAACACGCAATATTGCATTGGCCGCAACGAAGCGAATCCACAACAATGGCCGGCGCACCGTGAAGCCATGAGTCATGAGCTGCGAGCAACCGCGAGCAACCGCGCACAGTTTGTGTAGTTGAGTCCCACTTCTGTTTTCCAACTTCAAGATTACCGGCTTTGCGTCATCCAGGTGCACAGCCCAAGACACCCTGGTATCCGCCGATGCCGGCGCCTGCGAATGGAGCTTCAAATGGGGATTTGCTCCCAGGGCAGATGCTTGCCAGCATTGTCTTTTGAGTTTCCAAATGCAGGGTCTGAAGATTGTTTGTTCCTCCTCAGGATCGCCGATGCCAATATGCCTACGGATGAACAAGCCTGGGATCCGAAGCTTGGCTGTTTGGCATACAAGAACGGCAAATGTCTAATGCTCCCAGATTCCTTATACGTAAGCTTGGGGCACGCCAATATGCCAGTCAAATCTACCCAGGCATTGGCTGATGGGAGGCCAGTCAGAAGAGGGGCAGCGAACCCCGCTAACCCCACGGTCAGCATCAGTCCACTCGATGCATAATGGCGAGAATGGCGATGGCGTCTCCGGAGCTGGCACACCACAGCCGCCCTCGGTGATATCATCGCGCCGGCGGCGCGCAGCTCGCTTGCCCGCTCACCTCCTGGGGGAGGGCTCCGAGGCCATTCATGCTAGTTAATGCTGTCGTATCTTCGCCCGCTCGAGCGCGAAAAGAAGTTGGCTTGACGTTTCAGATGAGGCTGCATGATTTTATCTGTAGCACTATTAGGCCAAGCATATGTTGACAAACAATGCTACTTCCAGCCAGACAGACAAGCGCATGAACATCATGCTTTCAGCTTCCAGGATGCCAGCCCTGAAGTATCATGCGGGCTTTTGATTCTTAAGGTGTCATCATCCCGGCTTGGCGCCGTTGGATATTGCCAATGGTCCTGCGAGAGGCATACGTGGGCTACACAGTGCACGCAATGTTACACCCAGCTACACCTACGTAGCCAAAGGGCCGAGCCGTGAACTATTGCTGAAGATTCTTCGGCACTGTTTCCGCAGGGCTGGAAGTTTGGTTTCGTCATTGACGGCAGCGATGCCAAATGGGGATGCTCATCTGCACCTGAGCATCCGTTCAAAGTTGCACAGACATACTAGACTTCGGCGCAGTAGCGAGAGCCATAACTACAGTCGCCGCACAGTAACAAGGGCTTCACTGCAGGGTGTTGTGTTTTTTGGGATGCATTTCGGCAGCCTACAGAGGTAGTCAACAGGCGCGCCCTCAGAGCACCGGATTGCAGCTGCAAGCTGGTAGCCACCCTCCGTTCTGAAACATTGGAAATCCAACAATCTCCTACCACTGTGGTGGAAGTGCGTTCCAGCATCGGTCCCATTCTCCGGAACCTTGCAAGCAAACAAGAACACCTGCAACAGAAGAAAACTCAAATTTGATGTGCATGAGCACCACTGGCCTTCACATCTTCCCCCTGCCGCTTGCAGCAAGGGAACGTGAACTGTTGTTTCTCGATGTTTCACAGGAATGGCTGCCTTTGCTCTTCCTCCTTACCACGGTCTCAACAACAAATTCCGCATTCCCTCATCTCCAACCTACACATACCCTGACGCTCAATGATCAAGAGTAATTACATGGGATTCGTGCAAAAAAAAACTCCTATACGTCTCCTCTTCGGCGGTTGTTCAAAGATAAATCATGTTAAAACCTTGTGAAAACTGCGGCGCGCGGAAGGCCGAGCGGACGGCCAAGCGGAAGGCACATCTTGTCATAGTACTCAGCAAGATAGCAAGATATCATGAGGCACCAAATCCCTGAAATGCATTTACAGGGACAAAAAAAAACGCCTTTGGAAGGTTCGCCAACTGTGAAGCCCCCAAGAGTGCTTGCGTTTGTCCATTTAAACATCTGCTATATGTCTCAAAATACGTTTCGAAGGCCGTGAAAAACGCATTTTGAAGGTTCCCCAACTCTCGGGCTCCAAGATCGCTACATTTGGACACTTGAACACCACCACAAATACCCAAAATGCGTTTAGATGGTTTTTCGCATTTTCAAAGTGCCCCCACTTGTGAAACCTCCAAGAGTGCCGCATTTGGCCATTTAAACATTTGCTAGACCCACAAAATGCGTTTAGAGGGCTGTGAAAAACGCATTTTGAAGGTTCCCTAAATCTCGGGCTCCAAGATGGCTACATTTGGCCATTCACACATCTGCTAAACCCCAAAAGGCGTTTAGAGGGGTCCCAAAAACGCATCTTCAAAGTTCCCCAATTGTCAAGCCTCCAAATTTGCTTAGACTTGGCCATTTTTGACACCTGCTAGACCCATAAAATGCGTTTAGGGTGCTGTTTGAACTGCCGGGTTCCAAGATGACGGCATTTGGCCATTTAAACACCTGCTAACACAACCCAAAATCCGTTTAGGGTGCTCCGAAAAACGCATTTTGAAGGTTTACAAGTTCTGAGGCCCCGAACCCCCTAAAAAGCGCGTAGCGGGCTCCGAAAAAATGCATTTTGAAGGTTTGCAGGCTTTGAGGCCCCGAACCCCCAAAATGCGTTTTGGGTGCTGATTAAAATGCATTCTGAAGGTTTTCACATTTTCAGGTCCCGACCCCCCAAAATGCATGTAGAACACTTCCCGAAACGTATTTTCGAGGTTTAGAGGCTTTAGGCCCCTGACTGCCAACATGGTTTAGGGTTTCAGCCCCTGACCCCCAAAATGCGTTTAGAACGCTGTGAAAAATGCATGTTGAAGGTTTAACCTCTAAAATGTGCTTAGAAGGCTCCGAACGGAAAAAAAAAAAAAAAAGAGTGAAGGTTTACAGGTTTTGAGGCCCCGAACCCCCTCAAATGCGTTTAGAGGGCTTCCAAAAACGCATGTTGAACGTTTGCAGGCTTTGAGGCCCCGAGCCCTTCCAATCCATGAACTGCAGCACAATCCTCATCGAGAAATTGAGGGCTTGGTGGAGGCCTGCCCAGGGGCGCTGGCGGAAGATCCGCGGAAGTGCACTTTTTCTTGCCCCATTGGTCTTTCGTGGCCTCTATGCGCTTAACCATTCCCTTCAAACAAAGTGAACCAATCAACACCAGACCCGCTCATGCATTTTGAAACCTTCTCGGCATGAATTTGCACTTGTCCACATCCTTTGGGGCGACTCCTGCTCTTTGCTGCAGATAGTCCCTGCAATAGCGCAAGCCAAACAACACCAGACCCACCTATGCATTTCCAGGGCTCCAGAAATGCATTTGAGCATTGATTTTGGGATCCTGCAAAACACTTCTTCTGGAATAGGGTTTCAGTAATCCTTTTTAGAAACATTGCAAAAACCTTGGCGCGCAGAAGACCGCGAAAGGCCGAGCGGAAGGGAATAATTTCATGAGAAGCCATGAAACCAGAGTTTTGCATAACTGCCACATACCTCACTCTCCGGTGCGGTCATTGACATTCTGGAGCGCACTGTAGCTACACCTCTAGCACTCCCTTTTTTGCGGCGCTGATGCAAGCACTCCCAAACCTGACCCCGTGCGCTTCGCCATAAGACAGGCACTTTACCTTCCTTGTCCAGGGGTTGGCTGACCCCAGGCTGTTGTCCCATTGACTGCCATCTTTGCACAAGCATGAGACCACTCGTGCATGATGGATACATCCATTATGGTGGTGCGCCCTCGGGAGTAGGATTCAAAAACAGGTAGTGCTGGTGCTAAGTGACCAACATTGGGACCCACGTATACGACCACCTTCTCTAAATGCCAAGCTAGCTTCAGCTGGCACGTACGCGATGTGACAAATCCTCTGTTCTTTTGGTGTTGGCTTTTCTTCTATGTAAGTAAGGAAAAGTCTTCAAGAGCAAGCGCTGGCACTGGCTTATGCATCGAATTGGTATCCAAGTCATCGGCTGCTTGGCAAAGCTTCACAGGTTGGCATTATGAGGCCGCCTAAGATCAAAAAGGAATAACGCTGCGCGGGCTTTTGTTGATCTGCAGGCTTCAAGAAGCCTTCGATGCTGTCCAAGCAGAAGAGGGAATGGCGCTGAGATGTGCAGATTTCACGGCAAACAGCAGCCAAGCAATGCGAATATGGCCCATACCGTCTTTTCAGCGATCTCGCTTCTTGCTCTTCTTCTCCTTCTTGAACGGACAACCTAAGGACAAGAACCATGGCATGGCTTTCCAGAAGCGTCGGAAGGTTCGGATTCAAGAGCAGCTCTTCAAAGTGCGATTGCACTTTGTTCAAAATCTTTGGGTGGGGAGCACTTGCTGGTGAGCTACTTGTAGCTAATCGTCAAGGTGCTTGAATGACAGCATGTTCCGCTTCGCGAGCAGGAAAGAGGGATGTTCAAGATCCTGCAGAAGGAGAAAGTACTGTCGATTTCAGATGGCTGGCCGGATTCTTCGCCTGAGAAGGACAGCCAAGAAAGAAATGGGCAGGATCCCACAGCCCATATCGGGGCTGCGTGCCCAGCATGTTCTTAATATATCAGCTGCGGGAGCAGCTGCCTTTTAACCATGAATGTCGGTTCAGAAGATGTACAATATACATGAAACACCCCAGATAGCAGCTTCAAACTGCACGTTTCTGTCTACTGCACTTCATGCTTCTCAAGGTATACTGCCCCGTAGTTTTCTCGCGGCAGTGTGCAGCAGTTCCAACCAATGAAAGCCTTGCTGTCTTGGAATGAGACGTGTCAGTTTCTTAAGGGTCAGCAAGGTAAAGGCTCCACGAGTTCGCTTCCACAAAGGTCATCGCAGCCTTCATCGCAAACATCATTGCACATGGGAGTTTGTTTCAAAAGTCTTGCAAGTTGTGTTCCATCATGCAATGCCCACGGAAGGTGGAGAAACAAAAAGTTCGTGCAACATGGATGTTGTGCACAGAATGCGTTTAACATCTAGCATCCAATAGTACTTACAAATCTTGATATTTTGTTGATTTTGAAACGGCTAGTCAATCTGGCAGGCGGATATGGCATGTATGACTACTACAGCAAGGATTGCAGGTGGTTGAAGTTCTATGCTTCTATTCGCAGATTTTTTCCTGTCCATGTGTTGCATAGTTACAGCTTACTTAAACATGCGTATCAGGCCAGACTTAGAAGGCGGGTGCATAGATGATCTGGATCCTGGTTTCCGAAGTTTGGCTCCAAACAATATTCTTGAAGCTTTTGAAGATTCGGTTCCATCGCAGACAACTGCGCATTGATTGTAAAAATGGCCGGCATGCTAAGACATGTTCGAGGCGCGCTGTTGTTACTACCAGTACCGGAACACGCAGTAATTACTCGACTAGCCTGCACCAAACCTGGCAACCGTCGACTGCGCTCCGATAAGCATGATCGGAAACCTAGCTAATTTCAAGGTGATGCTTTTTCTGTCAGAGCTTTTCCCACCTCCGCCTCATATGAGCCATAATCTAAACTCCTGAAAGGGGGTAATATAGAGGATAATATAGGGGACTACTATGGGGGTTATTAGGGGGGATGCTAGGAGTTTAGACTATAGCTCATATGAGGTGGCAGAAAATACGCAAGGGCCCGCCAAAAACTCGAGGCATTTGGTAACAGCACTTCAGGCAGTTGAGTAGTCCGATTCTCGGAGGTTGGCGAAAGTATCAGTAAGGACGCTGCGCCGCTTACAGTCAAGAATTGTTGGTTTTGTCCAACCCTTCCAAAGCCTATTCTGCTGCCAGAGCAGCATGTTCTGAAACGTTCTGTCACTTGGCAGCCCGACCATGCAGTTGACGAAGCTGTTGTCCTGACGGCTTTGCGTAGGAGAATGGCCTGAAGTTTGTCAACAGTGGAGGCAGTATCATGTTCTGGCAAAGAGTTCAGTATTTTTCGATGCTGGTGCGATACATATTTGATCCTGAGCTTTCTGTCAGGTGCAGGTCTTCAGCAGCCATTGCTGCAAGACTCAGAGCTCTGCAATCTCGACCGCTCCGTGTCCATCCTGCACAGGAGCTCTTTTACCATTTTCACGTGCTGCGAGCAGAAGCTTGGCAGAGTCTCAACAGGCAAATCCTTCACTTTGCCGAGGCAGCCTGGCCATTTCCAAAGCTTTCAAAGCAGAGTTTTGTAAAAAAGCATGTTCCAAGTGATCAGCTTTAGTTGATGCAACAGAGCCGTCCACAGTCTTCGGATACCTCTCATTCGTCAATAGGATAATTTCACAGGCCGAAGCCTCCAAAACGCAGTTGGGGACGCTTGGCCTGATGCCCCTGCTGAGATTCGTTGGGGGTCTGCGATGCCACTTCCGGACAGCGCATTCAAAGCCAAGGCCGGAGATGGCGCAGCTCAGCGAGCGGCAGCCTGGCCTGCGGGAGTTACTCAAGCTTGGGGGAAGTTACAGCCTGACACATCTTCTTCGCTAAGGATTTCGAATCTTGCGGCGTTGGCCGCAGAGGTGGGTATTGGTACCCATCGCCAACGACGGTGATGCAGCAGACCTTCTCACAAAGAGTTTCTTACATGCTTTGCCGCAGCCTAGAACCTACATAATAGCTCCCCGATCAACGAAAGGAGGCAAGGTTCGAAGTGCAGAGCAAGTTCTTTTCACCTCGCATGCTCCGACACAGCGTGTTGCCTCACTTAGCTGTGCTATTGCGAAAGGCGCAAATTTCGCATCAGACATTTTTCCCAGCTCGCGACATTCGTGGGCCTAGTTGCTTTCCAATCATTCACAAGGTTTCAGAGCGTCAAGAGCCCATATGCCACCTAGTGGAGTTTGATTGGTTGGTGAAGATTCGCGGTGAGTCATGAGATTCTTGGAGCACAACTTTAGAGGTTCATTGGGCTCTGGTTGGCCGTGTCACATTAGGTGATGCTACATACCACCAAAAATGACGAGGGCACAGAAGCCTTCGTCTGAAGGCTCTGAAGTCCGTAAACATTACGATGACGCGTGCCCAGAGAAGCTACCCCGGGTGTGCAGAAGTGACTGACAAATCTGACAAAGTAGGAGAAATAGGACAGGCTCCTTTGCTTCTTTCTGTAATCGCTGTTCTGGGGCACATGCCAAAGATGCCGAGGTAGGTCAGGCTTCCGTGGGACCATGAGCAATGGCCACAAGAAGAGGGGAGCCCTGCGAAGACAAAACGAGCCACAATCGTTGAAGTTTGGAGTGAGATGTTTGGCATGCCTGGCTCTACAGTGGTTCAGCGAACAGCACAGGAGAAGTTGTCCATGAGAGCTCGTGCTTCTCTTGATGCTTTGGGGAGCTTATGTCCGACTCCAAGCTGTGATTTCTCGCCCAGGCAGCCGGTAGAACCCAGCAGCCACATGCACGATCATGCACGAACCGCTTTCTAGGTCCCGAGAAAGTCCGACGGCTGCACAACCACGCAGAGAATCTAGCAGATGCTGAACATGGGAAAGAGGCGGGGCACAGCGGGACTGGAGCTGACACCAAGACAAGTCCAGCGACACATATCACATATCCGAACTATTCTGCCAGGTCCTGGTCATGGATTTGCGTGCCGGCGATCGAATTCTCATTAAAGCTGGAGAGGTCCTTCTGCAGATGCGTAGCCACAGGGGTACTTGCTGAAGCGTTCCAGCTCCATTTCATTAGATTGTTGCACGCTTATCATGCCCGTTGAGGTCCAACTTTCTTCCATGAAAGCCTCTCAATTCCATGATTGGAGAATTCTAAGTGGGGATGCCATCTATCCTCGTCTCATCTTCCTGCCTTCTCTCTAGTGGGTGACCGACTCTGATTTTCTTGGGCGATTCCCAGCTGCCCGCCTTCAACAAGCTGCTTGCCTTCGGGCACTTTCGATGCAGAATTTGCGCCGTTGGGGCCTGAAGTCAGAAATCAGAAAGCGCTCGAAGTTTCCAAAGCCTGGCCAGCTCCATCAGCCCATTTCTTCGAAAACCTCTTCATGATATTGTGTCTGTGGGTTCTTACATGGGGGTTCTGATTGGGCGGCAGCGCTACTCGGATGATGGATTGATCACCGCTTGCTTCTCTGCTCTCCTGGCGAACTCTCCTATTATTCAATACTAACATGCAACATGTTCCCGGCATTAAAAGAGAAAGGGGCAGGCATCGAACAGAAGGAGGCATGGAGAAAGAAGAACATCAACAGAATCTCAAACACAGCTATGACAAGTACGATGCTAAGTAAGGAACGAAGGACGTCACAAGTTCTACTGACTGCACCTTCGTCCTGACTGGACCGCAAGAAACTAGAACTAGTTCTAGTGTGAAACTTCCTTTTGCCAATTAGAACGGTGGGTTGCTCTGACAAGCTCTACTACTGTAACTGGAACCATTGCAGGTTCGGCTCGTTCTGCGAAGAGGACATTAAGATAACGTTCCCATGTTGTCTTCCATCAGCCTATCCTAACTGTTAACATGGTGATCCTTTTCTTCTACCATTCCCATGACAAGACTGCAAGATGTTGGCCGGAATTTGTTCATTTGCAAGGTGGACCGCGGTCTACCCCGACTGCCCCCCTACCTCACCCGTATACCAACCCTCGCCTCTCACCTAAGCCAGGCCAAATCCCAGCCCAAAGACAGGCTGCAAATTGCAGGGTTCAGGTTGGGGCATTGGCAAAAACTTGCCAAAACGAATGGAGTCCAGATTGTCGACTTTTGGCCATGGGAGCTTCTATGAGAACAGGCACGATGATAAAAGATATTCGGTCTGCGCGTCCTGTCAGCAGCATTTCATCCGCCGTTTGGCACTTGAGGAATCTAGACCATACGAAGCCGATGAAAGCCTGAGATTCTGGCGCAAGCAACGGCAAGCGTCAATCAAGCATTGAAAAGCCTCCGGAATAACTCAACAAAACGCTGCGCCAGAAAGCAATATGAAGCAAGTGCTTTAGGTCCTTTAGGTGGAAAACGATGGGCTTCTTGTTAGCTAGGAAAACGAGGACTCGAGGCCCGAAGAAGCTGGCAAAAGCCAACAGTATGGCAGGGCGCAGTCACAGGTGCGTACTCGCCCAACTTCTTCAAAGCATCTTTCCCTGCAGCTATTCTTCAAGCTTCCGAGCACAGTGGTTTGCCAAAGATTCGGATCCGCCAACAGCGCAGCAGGTAGTGCCCGTCGATGGGCGCATCCTCGATGGAGAGTCTCAGATAGGCCAGTTGAGATGAGGTGAGCATGTAAGGAAACGAGATGTTGCAACTGGTCGGCTTGTGATTGACCAGGCTTGAGCCATTTGACTGGAGAGCCACTGCCCCAGGCAAACGGCCGCGCACTTGCATCTTTCCGATCACATGGTGTATTGTGAGTGGAGCCGGCAGCACGGATTCGCGCAAGGAATGACTTCGGAATTCTGGGAGGGTTGCCAAACCGTATATCAGCTGGAGTCCTTGTGGCACTCGTATGTTCTGGAGTTTGAAAGCAGTATGGATACAGAACGCACCAGAATGCTGCAATGTGACGGCATTTGCCGTCACCAAGTGTAAGTTCACATGGCCAGACAAGACCACAGAAGTACCTCATTGTCCATGTTGCAAAAAGTGTCCCCCTTCTCTGGCCTCGCAGCATCTCACTGCTACAGCAACCATTTTCCAGTCGCAGGCAGTTTCTCCTGGAGATTGCGTCAGCTCGGGAGCATGGGCCCCTTCTGCAACTTTGCTGATTAAAAGTATCTTCATGGTTGCCTGAGGCGGTGACAATTGATGGGGCGCTATTACTGGAGGTGCAGCAAAAGTTGTTTGCTTGCTCCACCTGTTGCTGTGCCGTTTGCCGAAAAGCGCTTGCAAGAGTCGCATAAGGTCCAGCGCGAGGCTGGCGAATCTACGCTGCAGCGTCGATTTCTCGGACAACTTGCACTAGAGCGCACATGTAACAGCAGGGGCTTTATGTTTGCATACTTCATGTCGTGCTTATTCAGAACAGAGCTGAGGCCTGGCCAAACTGACTTCAAGTGCAAAGGTCAGGTATAGTCGTGCTGTTGCAAGCTCTCTCATCACAGGGTGGTCGGGCGCTCCCTGCAGCTCAACTGCCTCAGGCTTCTCGACCGAAGCTCGTGACACTTGTTGATGCAGTGGCAGAGCGTCAGCACCTTGGGCAAGGATGAAGCTGTAAGATTCTAGCGCTTTGTTGTTTGCAAGTTCTACGTGTGAGGCTGGTCGTTTGGGGTGGTCGTGTCAACTGCACTGGTCGCAGCCATGCGCTCAGACCATGAAATTCGGTTCAATTTCTGAAGTGCATTGAGACTGAATTTCCCCAGCTGCTGCTGTAAGCTGCGTTCTGATGTCTGCGGCGATTGCAGACCGCATGAGTCCAAGGCAGTCCCGCCGCTTCTGTGGCATGCACCACTTGGCGCGCTGCCTCCCTAGAAGTTTTCATTTTACGGCAGTGGTCCTCGGCTGGTTCGCAATCTTCAGATGGAAGGTCACTGTATCGGGCACTAGTGTGGCTCATCACAGCATCTCCCTGTGCGCTGGGCTCCAAGCTGCAGAGGGTTCTTGAGGTCTACAGAAAGACAGCATGGCTGACAGGCTGATTCTCGCAACTCCCTTGGTCTACGTCTCCGGCCTGTCCGTGGCTGCAGCCAATGGGGTGCACCTTCCTATCCTAGCTGTCACTGTTCGTGTAGAGTGCTCGTCAGCAGAACTTTGCTTCAAGGGTTTGGGACTGCCGAGAATCGCCGAGAATCGGCTGGGGGTTGTTTGGGCCAGCACTCGCTTCTGGCTACACGCCAAACATCATCTAGTCAGCTGAGAAGGGCAGCTCAAGCCGTAAAACGCTCACCTGAGTTGTAAGCTACCTGAGCCTGAGCGGAGGTGCTTCTGAAAGGAGGGCGCACTTTGGACGCCCTGGCTGTTGCCAGTGGGGTGGCATTTGATAAGTGCGTCGCCCGAACATGCCCTAACGCGGATCTCTTTCTACGTAGCATGCGTTGACGTGTCACTGAGGACAGGCACACTCACCACGGGTACTCCAGTTCTGCAAAGCGTGGAGGATTCCAGCATTCGTGTGGTACGGGGCTCCTTTTCATCAGAAAGGTTTTGTGCTGGGACAGGAGGTTCTGGACGGCACCAAAATGGCCAAGGCCCTTGGATGCCCTGTGATAAACGGTACAGAGCACAATCGCCGACAGGAAGTTGAAGCGGATCCTCTTCTTTACGCTGCCTCTCTCGGCACGGGGCCTGGAGGATGTCGCGTGCTTTCACATGCTAGACTGTCGATAGGCTGCCAAATGCTCCACCTGTGGCATGTAGCATTGTAGCCGTGAGGAGACGGCACAGTGCCACAGCTCTTCATGTTGCAAAGACTCAGACTAGAAGAATGGCTTGTTTGCCAGGACGCCCAGCATAGTGCCAGCGTCAGCTCGCTTGAACCTGAAAACCCTTTCGCGTAGCCGCGTAGCGCAAAAGGCTTCGGCCTGAGCTCACATGATGAAAACC